CACACACTACCTACACACACTAACTACAACCACTACCTACCACCACTACCTACAGCCACTACACTATATATTGTATAACAACATCGTCAAGCGTGATACATTCAAGGACTCGTGCATAATATGTCGCGGAACAAAAGATTTCCGTCCTAGAGTGTGGGCATGTAGAAAATAATGGAGGTCCCGAATAGCCCAATCACAGATTGCCTAGCTTATGTGAAACTTCTGGTTCAAATGTCGGTTAGGTTTATGTAATTAGACATGTAGCCTTAAAGGCAAAAATAAAATAAAATCTCAGATTCTCTGCATTAACAAATAATTAGTTTTAACATCATAAAATAACTGTTCAAATACTCACAACACAAATTTACAAATTAATTTTTCCCCAAAGAAACAATAGTGATATGGTCCCAGCAATTGGACAAGTTGACAAAAATCCTTCCAGCTTTATTCTTGATATGGATAAAAACCGTGTTTTTGACCATTTTTGCCTTCATTAAAAAAATAAACCGGGAGTAATCTCCCCTAAACTTTCTCGAATATACTTATATAACACTACGGGGTATGGCAACTCGGAATATGGACATGATTTTTAATCCATTTTTAATTACTTAAACTTTTAAAAATAAATAGAATATAATAGAAAAAAGATTTGCGCATCAATTGAACAACAAACAATGTGTGTAAAATAGTGCGGAATATTAGTACTTTATAAATTCATATACGTTTTTTTTATAATCGGAAATTGCGTAAAGTCCTACTTCGGGTACACGGAAAATACTCAAACTTTGACAGAAGGCAAGAAATTATATCTTTTACTTACATGTGAAATTTCGTCTATCTATATCTGAAGCAGTACTCAAATTATAGGCTTTTGAAAAACCAAAAGTAGAATAAGTTTTACTTCAGGTTATCGTAAATCGCTGAAAAGTTAATGCAGAACTACAAAGTTGATGCTGAAAAGTTATCGTGTTCACTGACACACACACAGACATACGAACAAAATTCCAAAACTAAGGAAGGTATAAAACGTCGAAATTTTCCTCGAATTTTTGCATGATTACAATACTTTCTCTATTATTCGTATACGAGAATGTAAAAAACTAAGCTCGAAATAATTTTATCAATGTAATTGTAATATTTTCGTTAAGAATCTTAGTGATTTAACGTTCTAGTGAAGTTTAAAATATTTTTTTTAGTTTAAGGCTACATTTCTATTTATATCAATCAAGCCTAAATTACAACCTGAAGTTTCCCTTTCGTGAGACTAGTATTGGCTGTACATCAAGCAGTGATAGATCTTCTGAAAACACCACTTTCTAAATCTAGTAATTTGTACTCAAAACTTTGCTGATACAACTTTTTAATAAAATTATACTTTTTTTTTAAAACCACATTCCTGGTTGTGCCATGTTTATATCAATTTTCAGTCACAAAATGTAATCAAGCAAATTGTTTTTTATTTTAAATTATTTTATTTAGTTTACTTACCGATCCTTAGTCAAACAAAAACGAAACCATTTTTTATAACCATAATAATACTTACAACACCGTACAGGATTTTAAAAATATTTAATGCGCCTTTTGAATAATTTCGAGACTATTCTCGGTTGGGTCCATAGATTTAATTCAAATGATTTCAGGAACATTATAAAGCTAAGGTTTACTAGATGTGTACACGTGTTAAAGCCATATAAAGCAATGGTTTTCTCATACTTGTACACATATAAAGCAATGGTTTTCTCATACTTGTACACATATAAAGCAATGGTTTCTCTGATTTGTACACATATTGAGGCTATATAAAGCAATGGTTTCTCAGACTAATACACACATGAACCAACAGTCCATGGGTCACTAGCCGCTCAAATCACGTGCTACAAACGCGAGTTTTAATTAACCTTATGAGTTATAGCCCCTCCCCCTGCCATTGTCTAGTATTTATTATATAACAATCAAGCCGGTGTCGACGAAGATATTACAGGCAGATAATGCCCGTATAATTCACAGTGCCCTGTGCCATCATGTGACAGCCCAATCAGCTCGTATGACAATCCCCTCCCCTCACACAACCGTTAGCCTCCCCCGCCTCACACCACCCACCCACGGGCGCAGATTTTCGAAGGTCATTGTTTCCACTGCCACTGTGAAGATCAAGGACAAGACATTTTAATGGAATCAGTTGAAAAAAAAACTTCATTTATTTTTTAATGCGTTTATGATATTGAATTCCACACGATAGACTTGTTACAAAGACATATATGAGCATATGAACATACACACTGAAGGCCTACAATAACACAGTAATAGTAGACCGTAAAATTCTACGGGCGTAAAACTTTTTGTCAGGCATAGACACAAACACATATTTGATGGGTGTTTTAAAACAAAGACAGGTTCTCAACTGATACGCGGAGAAATGTGTAGAGAAATGTGGAGAGAAATGTAGAGAGAAATGTGTAGAGAAATGTGGAGAGAAATGTGGAGAGAAATGTAGAGAGAAATGTGTAGAGAAATGTAGAGAGAAATGAGGAGAGAAATGTGGAGAGAAATGTGGAGAGAAATGTGGAGAGAAATGCACTGGCATGTGCCATTAAGCTGTGAAAAACATTGCGAGCCAGCAGTTCTAGAGGTGGGAGAAAGTTCTATAAGATTATGGTACAGGATTGTGATGAATGTGGTGCAGTATTGTGGAGTAAGATGTGGACCATGATTGCGTAGTAAGATTGTGGTAAGTGATTGTGATCGTCTAACTCTAGTGGTAATGACAACTACATGTCTAGAGTATGTTAGCGTGTCAAGATTTGATCAAGGGAAATAACCCAACCCATGCTCGCAGAACACGCGATTTTCATGATTTAATGACAGCACAGAGTACTGCGCGTAGCACAGAGTACTGCCCGTAGCACAGAGTACTGCATGTAGCACAGAGTACTGCCCGTAGCACAGAGTACTGCCCGTAGCACAGAGTACTGCCCGTAGCACAGAGTACTGCATGTAGCACAGAGTACTGCCCGTAGCACAGAGTACTGCCCGTAGCACAGAGTACTGCCCGTAGCACAGAGTACTGCATGTAGCACAGAGTACTGCCCGTAGCACCGAGTACTGCCCGTAGCACCGAGTACTGCCCTTAGATCTCCCTATGTCTGCCTACATCACACAAATTTTTTTTTTCAAACTAGACACGTAGGTCAAGACAACAATTAAATGTGACATAAAATTTGACTTAATTAGATGTTTTTGTACTCATGTATAGCGCTGTTATACACACCTTGTTTGCGATCATCTATTAAATGTAGTTGTGCAATTTGATTTATGTGCAATTTTATCTAAAGAGGATGTATTTTTTTACTTTCTCGTATACAGAGTAAAGATGAAGAATTGTAATAGTACACAAAAGTCAGATGAAATTTTGACAGTTTTCATCGTTTTACACCTTAGTACTTCATCGTATAATCGGGCAAAAAAAAAATACATTTATCAAAATTTCGGCGTTTTACTCGTAATCGAGGCGGAAAAAATAGGCTTTGCAATTTTGTCCGTGTGTCTGTGTGTGTGTGTGTGTATCTGCGTCTGTGAACATGAAAACTAGAGTACCGCTACAGCTAGGTTGATGAAATTTCATATATAAGCATTATATCAAATTTGTAGTAATGAATCAATTTTTCAGCGATTTCTGGTAACTGGAAAAGGAGTTTATTTTAATATCGGCTTTTCAAAAGCCTATAACTTGAGTACTGTTTCTAATATATAAATAAAATTTCACAAATAAGTAAAAAAAAATCTAATTCTCAGTGTTCTGTCAAATTTTGAGTAATTTCCGGTGAACGGAAGTAGTACTTTACGTTATTTCCGATTTCTCTGAAAACGGATATGATTTTATAAAGTACTTATATTCCACACTATTACATACACCTGTTTATTTGAAGCGCAATTCGACAAAAAAACGAGGAATCAAGTTAATAAAGGCTTATAAAATTTAATAAAAACTTTTATAATAACAAGATTTTATATGCTAAAAAAAGAAAATAAATAAATTTGTTTAAATAAGCACGAATACACCAAACTTAAAATAAGTAAAAAGCGCGGGTCGATATAAAATAGATTTTGTTTTTTTTCAAGACAAAATTCAATCGTCGTCTTAGATTACCCATCCCATAATTAACTTATTTTCCAGAGACATAGCTTCACCCACTCTGAAGCTAACTTGGAACAATGTTAAAAATGTTTATTTATTTATCTGATTCTATATCTCTGTATTCACTTGATCTACCAACAATGGTGATAGTATTTCTTTATTGCATATTGTAAATGCTATTTTATTGATACGCCTTTATTATTTAAATGCTAGTTTATTATTATGTCAATATGTTTGTTGCTAACGGCCAATGGGAATCACATAAAACGTGACTACTTTTGCAGCCGTTACAAAATAAAAATGTATTAATTACCATTACAATAATTATCTGAACTACCCACGCTTTCTTATTAGTTATTTAAATAGTGGTCTATTATATTTTTAAAGTAAGACATTGATTTTCTTCATTCTCGTGCACATATAAGGGCTTGGTATAATAAGTGTTTGGTTTTATAAATGGACCTATGCACGCAGAGGCGTAGCGAGGGGGGGCGGGGGGGGGACATATGTCCCCGGGCGCCGACCTTAGGGGGGGGGGGCGCCAAATTGAAAGTTTGAGGGGGGGGGGTGCAAACGAAAGTTTGAGGGGGAGGGTGCAAATGAAAAGTTCGAAGGGGGGGGGGTGCAAATCGAAAATTTGCTCCCGAGGGGGGCGCCAAATTGAAAGTATGTCCCCGGGCGCCGGGAAGGATCGCTACGCCTCTGTATGCACGCGACTCACATGTAGAGTAAGAATAAGGATTCATCATAGACTTACCTGTAGAGTAAGAATAAGGATTCATCATAGACTTACCTGTAGAGTAAGAATAAGGATCCATCATAGACTCACCTGTAGAGTAAGAATAAGGATCCATCATAGACTTACCTGTAGAGTAAGAATAAGGATCCATCATAGACTGGATATCTAGGTGGTGAAAGTCCATCATGGTGAATGGCTTGACCGGGCACCGCTTGGGTCTCACAGTAAGCCTCAATTTAATCCGGTAGTTAAATAATTAGCCTCAGTCTATTACCGACCGAGTGTCCATATCACAGAAGGCGGCTATCACGTGGGTGGTCATGTGTGTGTTACATCACCCAAAGTCCCTGCAATAAAAAAATAAACATCCTGAAATACTTGCTTGTTTTTTTTTTTTTAATTTCACCCATCGTTACCGGCATATGGTGTAAACACACATCAACACACACACACACATCAGCACACACACACACACACACACACACACACTTCACCCATCGTTACCGGCATCTGGTGTAAACACACATCAACACACACACACACATCAGCACACATATACAAATCTAGCCTGGATTAATTAACTACCTTAATCATCGTCCATGCAGTTTTGCGAGCTTGGGTGTAAGAAAGTGGTGATTGGGGGGGGGGGGGGGGTAGGGGGGGAATGATCATGTGGTAAGAGGAGCATGGATATTTCTGTGCTGAGCTTTACTGATGGTATACTGTTGGTGTACTGTTTGTGTACTGTTTGTGTGCTGTTTGTGTACTGTTTGTGTACTGTTTGTGTACTGTTTGTGTACTGTTTGTGTACTGTTAGTGTACTGCTGGTATATTGTTGGTATACTGTTGGTATTTAGAGACCAGCATTGCTTTAGTTATGAATGGGCGTGTTCGCACGGTAGGACGTATGGTTATTAACATGAAAGGCAGGCGTTCGGATCCCGGGCTCATGTCTGTAAGACGTCACCCAGCTCTGGTGGTCACATGACTGACTGTAGGGAAAGTAAAGACGGCTGGACATAGTGCTAACGACAGTATCTCTTTATATGCCGAGCTCACACACACTTCATCTGCCTTACTGACCACCAAAAACCGTTACATATTAAAAATGTGTGTGTGTGTGCATTCTACAACATTAGTCGTCAGCAAGATGCAAGGGGTGGAAGTACCAAACCCCAGCGCGGGAGGGGGGGGGGGGTGTGGTTGATGGACGTTTAGAAGGCCCAAAATCCGACCAAAGAATATTGTTACTCTTACACCTTGATGGTGGTTTTGTAAAAATAAGAACAGATCTACTACAGCAGTGATTGTTTTACAGTAATGTGAATGATAGACCAAGGTTTAAACCACTTCCATGACTTATTGCTCCTAGTTAAATAGTCAAATATGGTTGCCCATAAAGCTCGTTTCAATGGTTTTGTACTAAGCAAAGTGAAAAGCAATGACTGCTCTTAAATGTTATTTAAATAAAGCATAAAAAATGAAACAGCAATAAAAAGCAATTGCTTCAAAATTATGAATATAAACACACAACAAACACGAGAAACCACATCAAGCTTGAAGGACTTGCCACTTATGAGGGGACATTTTGTTCGGCGGGTCTAAAATGAGATGAAATATTTGAGGACTTGACTACTTACCCCGTCAACAGAAAAAATAACTTGCTACTATAAAACGATGCCTGAAAGAAAGTCTGCTTAGAAAAATGGCAAGTCTAGTCCCCCCCCCCCCAACCACATTAAAGTTTCTGGCGAGGGTACTAGACCCACCCAACGTTTCCCCTCCCCCTTTTTTCATACACACAAATACACACACATACACACAAATACACACACATACACACACATACACACACATACACACACATACACACACATACACACACATACACACACATACACACACAAACACGTTATGATATCTGTGAGAAAACGCTGATCTAGAAAAAATATTTGCGCAATATCCACATCGATGAACACTGATTTATGCCCGCTCTCTAATGACATCAATTATCGAACTATTTTAATAATTGTGACTACTCATGACACATCTTAATAACAACATTATAGAACAAAAGTATATAACAAAATTATATAACAAACGTATACATCAAACTTATATAACATTTTTTTCTATCTAAAAACGTGATGTTCAAAAAAGCTTTAGTATAACATTGAGTCGTTTTATACATTCACACAATTTAACATTAAATCGTTTTCAACATTCACACTATTTAACATTGAGTCGTTTTCAACATTCACACAATTTAACATTGAGTCGTTTTCAACATTCACACAATTTAACATTGAGTCGTTTTCAACATTCACACGATTTAACATTCAGTTGTTTTCAACATTCACACGATTTAACATTGAGTCGTTTTCAACATTCACACAATTTAACATTGAGTCGTTTTCAACATTCACACGATTTAACATTGAGTAGTTTTCAACATTCACACAATTTAACATTAAATCGTTTTCAACATTCACACTATTTAACATTGAGTCGTTTTCAACATTCACACAATTTAACATTGAGTAGTTTTCAACATTCACACAATTTAACATTGAGTCGTTTTCAACATTCACACGATTTAACATTCAGTTGTTTTCAACATTCACACGATTTAACATTGAGTCGTTTTCAACATTCACACAATTTAACATTGAGTCGTTTTCAACATTCACACGATTTAACATTGAGTAGTTTTCAACATTCACACGATTTAACATTGAGTTGTTTTCAACATTCACACGATTTAACATTGAGTTGTTTTCAACATTCACACAATTTAACATTGAAAAGTTTACATCATTCAAACAATGTAACATTGAAACGTTTATACATTTTTAAAATAAACGGGAGTGATCTCCCCTAAACTTTCTCGAACATTCTTATATAACACTACGGGGGATGGCAACTCGGACTATAGACAATATTTTAAATCCTTTTTTAGTTACTTAAACTTTTTATAAAAGAATAGAATAGAATTGCATACCAAGTGAACGCCAAACAATCTGTGTATAATAGTGCGGAATATTATTAGTACTTTATCAATTCACATGCGTTTTTTGGGAAATCGGAGATAGCGTAAATTAGTGCTTCCGTTTAACGGAAATTACTCAAAATTTATAAGAAGGCAAAAAAAAAAATAAAAAAAAAAAAAAATAGATCTTTTACTTACGTGTGAAATTTCATTTATCTATCTGAAATAGTACTCAAGTTATAGGCTTTTGAAAAATTGAAAGTAGAATAAATACCACTTCCGGTTACCGGAAATCGCTGAAAAGTTGATACAGACCTACAAATTTGATATAATACATATGAAATTTCATCAACCTAGCTGTAACGGTACTCAAGTTATCGTGTTCACAGACACACATACATACACCCATCCACACACACAGTCATACGGACAAGATTGCAAAGTTATGTTTTTCCGACTCAGTGAGGTGTAAAACGTCGAGACTTGCAAAAATCTCGATTTTTTTTGCACTATTACAATACTTTCTCTATACTTATATACTTGTGAGAAAGTGAAAATCGACACGTTTGATATCATCTAATTTTACACTTATTATATACTATGTACATATAACAACCATTATCTAAGTAGATACAAGAAGAAACATCTCAGTAAAATAAAGAACCACAATACAGCCACCACCATCTACAACATACAAAATTCACATTCCAATCGTCTAGTTCTATTTTTGTGCAGGAAAATGAGTATTTTGTTTAATAACGTTTTAAGGATTGGTTGTTATATAAGTGAGTGGTTATATAAGTTTGTTGCTATATAAATATGTTGTAGAAGTTTCTAGCCGCGAAAAGCTACAGACAATGATCACATGACTATAGAACCAGACCCTGCTTGATCAACCAGACGGATAATACAGAAGCCATAAGATGGGGGGGGGGGGGCAAGAGAGAAGGTGATGAAGTAGATCTACCACAGGGACAGTCGGGAGATTTTTTAGAACATTGGACACTAAAGTACCAGATGAACAACGGCAGACTTAGATTTTTTAAAATATTGGACACTAAAGTACCAGATGAACAACGGCAGACTTAGATTTTTTAAAACATTGGACACTAAAGTACCAGATGAACAAAGACAGGCTTAGATTTTTTAGAACATTGGACACTAAAGTACCAGATGAACAACGGCAGACTTAGATTTTTTAAAACATTGGACACTAAAGTACCAGATGAACAACGGCAGACTTAGATTTTTTAAAACATTGGACACTAAAGTACCAGATGAACAACGGCAGACTTAGATTTTTTAAAACATTGGACACTAAAGTACCAGATGAACAACGGCAGACTTAGATTTTTTAAAACATTGGACACTAAAGTACCAGATGAACAACGGCAGACTTAGATTTTTTAAAACATTGGACACTAAAGTACCAGATGAACAACGGCAGACTTAGATTTTTTAAAACATTGGACACTAAAGTACCAGATGAACAAAAGACAGGCTTCAAAACACAATCATTTTTAGACCCAATAGCAACTTATATGACGAAAATGGAACAAGCTATTGAATAGAATGTTAGCCTAACACAATATGAAATGCATCATTCATGGAGGTAGACTAACACAATATGAGTTAATTCATTCAAGGAGGTAGGCTATCAAAATATGAGATACATCATTCATGGAGGTATGCTATCAAAATATGAGATACATCATTCATGGAGGTAGGCTATCAAAATATGAGATACATCATTCATGGAGGTAGGTTATCAAAATATGAGATACATCATTCATGGAGGTAGGCTATCAAAATATGAGACACATCATTCATGGAGGTAGGCTATCAAAATATGAGATACATCATTCATGGAGGTAGGCTATCAAAATATGAGATACATCATTCATGGAGGTAGACTATCAAAATATGAGATAAATCATCATCTAAGGATGTAGACTATCAAAATATGAGATACATCATTCATGAAGGTAGGATATCAAAATATGAGATACGTCATTCATGGAGGTAGGATATCAAAATATGAGATACATCATTTGTAGAGGTAGGCTATCAAAATATGAGATACATCATTTGTAGAGGTAGGCTATCAAAATATGAGATACATCATTTGTAGAGGTAGGATATCAAAATATGAGATACATCATTTGTAGAGGTAGGCTATCAAAATATGAGATACATCATTCATGGAGGTAGGCTATCAAAATATGAGATACATCATTCATGGAGGTAGGCTATCAAAATATGAGATACATCATTTGTAGAGGTAGGCTATCAAAATATGAGATACATCATTTGTAGAGGTAGGCTATCAAAATATGAGATACATCATTTGTAGAGGTA